TATATATATATATATATTTTTTTTTTTTTTTGCTGTGCAAAAATGTCGATGAGTTGCTTTTATAGCAGTCTTAAAAGAGCAAAAGTAATAAAGGTTGTAACTTATGTAAAAACAAATTATCAACATGATATGTGTTCATGACTATTACAACAAACCTTTCAAATGCTCCAGTCACTCTATGGACTACTTGAAACATGAGAATATCCTGAACCAGGAGATCTTTGTCATTGATGGTTTTGAGTTGCCTGAGACATCCTGAATTTGCAAGATAGTCGTGCAGTGGTTCAGTGGCCTTTATGAGCTCTTCGACAGATGTGCACTCTGACACCTAAACATAAAATACAATAATAAGAAAAACATTGTGGTTTGCAAGCCAAAAAGAGCTAATTGTCTTTTTTTTTTTTGTTTATTTCACAAACAGGTCTTCTTGCCCTTTAGTTCAAGACTGGGTAATTTGTTTTTGAGTCTTAATTAGATGCTTCGGAAATTCATTTCAAATTAGAATAAGTAGCTCTTAGGGGTGCACCAATTCCATTTTTCTGGAAGATTGCTGATTACCAACCTTTATTAACAATAATCTGCAAATTCTTATTTTGTCCGATACCGGCTATTTCTGTCTGAAATGTCTCCACATATAGCAAGACAGTCACTGAGTTGGGAACAGCGGGCTGACTATTTTTAACTGCAAATGTGCAGTCAAGACCTAGTGGGTCGGTCTACCAGTCAAACCTCTCTCATGGGAAAAGGCCTCCTTAAATTAAGGAAATTGGTACCATTAAATTGGCTAGCCGATAAGTCAGTGCAACCCTACTAGCTACAGGACAGAATAGTCTAATTTGCATATTTTATCATGTGACATCGGACTAAATATGTTTTGACATAAAGACATAGCCATTGACAACAGCTTTGTAGAATTGATTAGAAATAGAAATATTTTTAACAACAAACATGAATGACATAGGAAACATAGGAAAGTCCTGCAAACTGAAGTAAAAATGATAGGAAATCTGTAATAATTAGGTTTCACTTTACCTTTTGAATCTTATCATGGAGGTCGTTATCAGCAATGTCATTTAACACAGGCTTCACAGCAGAGCTACCACCAATGAGTCGAGAATACAGAGCTGAGGAGAAGAAACCTGGTGGAGGACCCCCGTTAACCAGACTTACAGCAATGGCTTGCCCAGCAAAAAAATACCGATCCTCTCGGAGAGCTGGAAAAACAGGTGGCACACAAGGGACAATTAATAATATGAAGACATTCAAAAAATGATTAGAAAAACTTCAATTATTTACACAACTTATGCAATGACACGCTTACCTGAACTGTTGAGAGCTAAGTTCAGGTTTCCATCTCGTCCTTCAAACATTGGTGACTGTGCTATGGCTTCCATTAACAGATGCAAAAACTCTCTTTTTGGACCACCAAGATCCACAGCCTCTTCATGTAATCCTAAGTCATCGGAAAACTTGATGCACATCTGGTACCTGGGATTGTAGGAGAGTCGTCTGAAGCCTCGCAGAGCTCCATCCAGTACTGAAGACCTGTTAATATTAAATCGGCATCTTTGGCTAGCATCAATCTGAGATGCAAGTTCAAGAAGAATCTCTTTTGCTGATCTTGCATTTGGATCATCTGAAACCCTACGGTGAGGAAGAGTATGGGAGATAGATAGAATAAAGACAAGAGCACTATTTAAAAGTTTAACAACAACATAAGTACATTGTGTCACTATTAAAATGGGAAAAAACATATGTACTTTTGTACCAACAGCTTTTGATGTAATTTTGGTTTTACAGTATTGTAAAACACAATATGACAAAATGCAGGTTATGAGTATGGACAGATATGCACAGCATTTACCTAAAATTAAAGCTTAGTTTTGCACTTTTTAAATTTTAGTCATGACAAAAAAACAAAAAAGAAAATAATATTAGAAAGTTCCACTTTGGAACATGCAAACTATCTGCCTGGAAACACTTCAAAAATTATTTTTTATATTTCTAATGTGTTGTTACAACAAGGTCTAGGTAAGATTACTAAATGACTTACACATCATTCTGAAGACTGGCCATTATCGCCAGATTTAATTCCTCCTCATCGGAAGACAGGTCAGAGATGGAGCTCATTAATGAAATGTAGGTGGCATAGTTGTCACAAGAGTCAGATGTTTGGTGCACTGTGGACACACTATCAATAGTCTCTGGTTGGGCTGCAGAGAGCTGGTTGGCTGAGGTCAGGCTATCTGTGGACTCTGGTGGTATTTCAGAGGACTGGATAATTGTAGTCCTTCTGGTTGGTGGGTAATTTGAATCCTGTGTTAATGAATTCAGGTTTCCTCTAGCTGTTGTGTTCATGTCATCACTTCTCTGACTAGGAATGTTAGTGCTATGATGACTGGAAGTTGATGCGGCATCCAACTCCATAGAGCTTTCCTCAGAGTCTGTGTGTTCAAACTAAACCAAGCAAAAAGATATTTGCTGACATAATTTATATAAACAAAGCATCAACACAACACTGAACATTGTATGTACTGATAACCCAACTGACATTCAAATTAGCTTACCGAAAGAGGAAGATCGGTTGATGGTCTAATGTACATTGACTTTGCCCTGAATATCTTATGAATCATGAAGCCATTGAGTTCTTGACCGTCACGCAACCTTGGTTGCACAAGATTGCTGCCACATGGCATCAAAAGTTCAACACTAGCAAGAGTGTTCAAAACATTTGAATTATTATACAAAGTCAGTAACTCATTCAACTAATTAACTGAACTGAATGCATTTCTTTAATATCTCACCAAAATCATACCTTGTATCATCAGGAATTTTGTCCTTAAAGGCCTCCTTAATCTCAAAAATGACCGTCTTGTAGTCCCATGACTTGTTTATCTCAAAGGCACTAATAATGCATCCACCTTCATGAAGCCTTCTCTTTGTTTTGTGTTTACAGATGTTCTTCCATGTGGATCTTGGTAAAAGTATGAGATCTTTGTTAAAAGTAGGATGATTCATTATTGCAGGCCTAAAACAGAAAAAAAATACATTTCAGAAATGATGTTTCCAACTTCAGGCAAAATATGAGAGGAACATTAGATAAATATCGTTTCCAGAAAGCTTCCAGAAAAATTATCCAAGTGAGAAAAACATCTTTTCAATGTATGTATTGAAAAGATAAATTGCTTAAAGTAACCCAGCAATCTCAGGAACAAATGTATCATGCAGGACTGCTGTTTTGAAAGATCAATTTAGATCAGTTATCAAACACCTCTTGAAAGCAATTTTAAATAAGCTTTACTAACAAAGCTAAACTGTACTTGAAAGAAATATTTAAAATCAAGCAAAATTACAGAATAACTACTTTAAAAGACAACTTTAGAAAAGCTACAATTCTGGCAGCAAGTGCAAATGTCTACTACAGTTTAAGATATGTAGGATACATAGAAAAATTTATTTTGAAATGTCCATTTATCAGACTTGGAAAAATATATTAATTCTTTCCGTTAGACCTATTAAACATTAAAAATATACAAGTTAAATTATTCCTGTAAAAATATAGACTATATAAAGGTGAAACTGCACAAGATGAGACATGGCTACAGTACTTGTATATTAAGGGACGTCCATAACTGCCTGTGTCGTCCTATTCTCACAGGATTGGCTGACCACTGCAGTGACAAACATTATTCTATGGCAATGGTTTTCGTGTTAAAAAGTGATCTATAGAGGAATTGTTAATACATAGGGGTGGGTTGGAGTACTCCAAATTGTGCTACAATGAAACGTGAGACCCGTACATAGGCATTTAATGCTAAGGTACATCACTGTTTAAGAACCCTCGTTCGAAAATTTAAGTAATTTAAAACAAGTAAAAATTCAAGCGATTCATTTCTCATGTATGAACTCACCTCTTTCTCGATTTTGACGTCCATCTGCCAAAATGGTGCTGGTTCTGAAATCTTGGCCGCGGTTCTTGACTTGTTAGCGGGTTAGCTTCGGCTAACACACTTGTGTGCGGGTTAGCTATCTCTTCAGTCCGGGATGTACCCGGTCTGAAGAGCCGTGTAACTTCAGCATTAACCGCAGGCTGTCGGCTTCTATCCAAAATGTCTGATAATGCTGACACCATAATTGGAGCATTAACAATATTACTTAAAATATTCACTGCCTCGGTGAGACGCTCCCGCTCAGCCATTTTCCTATCCGTCTTTTCCTGTTTATTACAGGTGTCCAATCAGAAACTGAAATTTTAAGTTAACTTCCGTTGCAATCAAACTCTCTCGCAGAGTTNTGAGGGAGCCCGAAAAAAAAAACCAAAAAAAAAAAAAAAAAAAAGGGTTTTTGCTTTTTTTTTTTTTTTTTTTTTTTTTTTTTTTTTTTTTTTTTTCTGGTGGACTAAATTAATAATACCTACATCTCCAGGTTTCTTTTCGATTATTACTCCGGCATCATTGCTTTAGATGACAAGTAAAAGAATTACATTTTTTCCCTTCCAGCGTTGTGTGCTTGCGTGAAATTTCCAGATGTAGAATGAAACGTGTCCATAGAATTAGCATACTGTACAGGGTAGGATCGGACTACATGGCTGAAAAATATGTCGTGATATAAGCGTTTCAAGTCGGTTGATATTGATAAATATTGATTAAGTTTTTGTTTATATTGTCTGAAATACTGCCAAACTGGTGACCATTCCTGTTTTATCCACTGTTTTCACTCCTCACCATTGTTTATTTCTAAGAAAATGTGAAGCACAGTGGCTAAACTTGAAACTGCTGCTGCACATGTTAAGTTGTTGCCTTTGAGAGGTTGAGCCCAAGGTAAGGGCAGTCTTTTGTCTGCCTACATCCTCTAAAATACACTTGTGGATTGGAGTTCAGTGAAATTATTGACCATTCTATCAGACATATATTCTGGTAGAATATATGTCTTTCAGAATATAGACAGCAAGTTGCTGTGGCAGCTTACTGTCGCAGCAACTGATCACCTGCTGTTGCCATAGCTATAGTTATTGAGCTATTGCCCAGCCCTACTACAGGATATACTAATCTGTGTTAGGCCAGTACAAGAGTTCTAGATGTAATGACCGCTTATCTAAAGTCATGCACCATTAGTCTGAATTGGGTTACATAAAATAGATTGTTTCTGGTTGTAACATAAGAAATCTGGGGAGTTATAAATACTTTCAATAGAGGATTTATCATAAGAGAACTTGGTGCTAAACTACAACACAAGAATAACTGTTTATTTGCAACACTAAATCTTTTAGAGCCAGTCCTGGCCTAAGAGACCCACATTTGGCTTCCTTCAGGCTCTGATTTCCATTCTGTGTTTTCAATGCTGATTCCACTTCCTCATTTTTAACAAAAGGGCATTGGAAATGAGAGTTAATCACAACAATACCTGTGTTCTCTTTTTACAGAACTACGTGCTTCATGGAGGGAAGATGATACACAAGGTGATTGACAGCTCTATGTGTGAGAATGATTGTACCAAGATGGAGGACATTTCTACGCAGAACCTTTGACTCCCAATACTACCCCTACCTTCGGCTGAATGAGCGAAGCTTAGGATGGAAGACCCGTCAACTACTGCTCTAAGAAACTGTAGCAACCATCTCGGACTCCTGTACCTCACCGCCTCTAAACACACACCCTCTCCCACCAGATGGGGCCCTCCTTCAACTGCTGGCCAACTTCCAGGATGTTCATGAACTTGAAGCGCATTCGAAAATGCCAGTTGGTGCAGCTGATGACAAGCTGCCTGCTGCTATCGGTGGTAATGATCTGCTGGGAGCAGCTGGACTCGGTCGTTGTCAGCCATGTCAAGTCCTACTCCTTCCGCTACCTCAACAGCTTCTGCTACGTTAATAGGAGTCTCACCATTCCTCGCGAGGAGGCCAGAAGCTTCAGTGACTTCCCCTACCTTTTGGACCACCCCGAAAAGTGCGCAGACGAGGACGTCCTCCTCCTTGTCTTCGTAAAATCCTTCCCGGAGAATTTCGAGCGTCGAAACGCCATCAGATTCACCTGGGGCAACGAGAGGTACATCCAAAATACCCTGGGCATGACGGTCAAGGTTCTGTTCGCCTTGGGAACTGTTGAGAGGAAAATGACCGAGTCTTTTTGGAGCAAAAAGAGCGACAGCAGCTTCCGGAGGAAGCTTGTCCGCGAGGACACTCTCTATGGCGACTTGATCCAGAAGAACTTCAAGGACTCCTTCCACAACCTGACCCTCAAACTCATCATGCAGTTCCACTGGATGCACAGCCGCTGCGCCCACGCCCGCTTCTTCATGACCACAGACGACGACGTCTTTGTCCACATGCCCAACTTGGTGAGGTACCTGCAGGAGCTGAGCAGCAAGGGGGTCACCGACTTCTGGACAGGGAGAGTGCACATCGGAGCGCCGCCCATCCGCAGCAAAGACAGCAAGTACTACGTTCCCTATGAGATGTACCAGTGGTCAGCTTACCCCGACTACACGGCTGGGGCCGGCTACGTCGTCTCCGGCGATGTGGCCCATAAAATCTACCACGCCACACTGACCCTGAATGCCTCCCTCTACATCGACGATGTGTTCATGGGCATCTGCGCCAACGCCGTCAACGTGTCGCCACAGCAGCATGTTTATTTCGCGGGAGAGGGCAAGGCACCGTACCACCCATGTATCTACAGCCAGATGATGACCTCTCACGGCCATGTGAAGGACATTTATGATCTATGGCGGGTGGCAACGCACCCAAAGGTCCAGCAGAGCACCTCAGGACTGTTTGGGAAGCTGTACTGTACTGTAGTGAGAATGTATCTCCTCTGTAAACCCCAGTTTGTTGACACCTATCCTTGCAAAGCAGCATTTTTGTAGTGCAAAGAGGAAGTGAGAGTCCACTATAACACCGACAGTGATGACCGATGGGTTCATTTCTAGAAGTATTACCTCAGTCCTTTCCCTAGGATCTCTACCCACACAGTGGTTTACTGCTGCAGACGAAGCCAGAGAGAACGGGTTGTTTTATTATGGCTAGAGTGAGACCTCCAACTTGTCTATGATTCTTTGTCGTGGTTGTTTTTAAAGTGCAGATGTTGTGGGCCGACCACAGAATGTGAAATTAAAGTTCTGCAAAGATGTGTCTGTGTCGTCCTAATTTTAAACCTAAGCATGGTGCGAATGAGGTTTTTATTTCGGCAGTTCTTCAATTTTGTGTTTTGGAGCTTTCCACAAATAACAATTTTGCAAAAATACACAATTAGTATTTAAAGGTATGATGCAAGAAACACATTTTCATTGCATAGTAGAGAGGAAAATTCATAAAGGCACTGGTTAAGAGATAAACTGTTGGTGCAACAAAGATGTGATTTTCTGACAGCAATAATTCAGATGTTGAGCAAAAACGGGCCGTTCAACCTGTTGCTACTGGAAAGTCTTTGACATCCAACCATTTCTATTTTGGTAACACAGGAACAGTGTAAATCTTGTTGATTTGCCTTCTCATTATTACATCAATGGTGAAGCTTAAAACTTGTCAATGTCGCTTCTCTGTTTACTCATTTGGTTGAGGTTGTTAAAAGGGCTTCCTTTTACGAGTTCTGAGAATTTATTTGCGTTTCTTCCTGGACAACGACTGCAGATGCGTCACATGCTTTGAAACAAGGCTTCTTTGTTGGCTGTGAGTTCAGGGGAACAGGTAGTCAGTAAAATTATTTATACCACAATTCAAATCTGTCCAAAGAGAAGTGCATAACTGACGTTTTATTTTTGATTCAGTCAGGTTTATTATTATTCTCTCGGAGGAGTGAGGGAATCAAAATGAATTGCTTGTCAAAAGCCGGCTGAATCGTACTGTATTGAGGAAGATGTGTAAAAAGCATCAATTCCAAACTATCTATTGCACTGCAGTGAAAAAAAATTCTGCAGTGAAAAAAAATCTATTCTTTAGTTTAAATACTTCAGGATTCAAGTAGTGAAAACTTTGTGTTGATGATCTTTCCATGTTTTAAATCTTTATCCAAATGGAAGAACCAGGGACGGCCCATTTTTTTCCTTAATACAAAATGTGAAAGGGTTAGTGATACCATGCAAATAGTATTCAGATCCGCCACCGAAGTTAACATCAGACATCTTCCTCTTTTGTTTCTCAAAAGCTCAATCTTGGTCTCATCAGTTCCAGCTAACGTGTCTAGTTTAGCAAAAGTCATTGTTTACTCTTATGATGGGAGGACAAAAAAAACAGTCAGAAATCCTTCATGCCCGCAGCATCACCAACCATAGCGATTGGGATGGATGTGTTGCATTTAAATTAATCTTTTGAATAAATAACGTATTTTTGAATGAACTAAAGTTGAATTTATTCTAAAGTGTTTCTCAGTGGTAACAATAATTTTGATTTTAGTTTTTTTTTTTTTCCAGGACTTTGGGGGGAGGGGGGGTCAAATTAAAAGTTGGATTCTTTATATTTTTTTCAGTTTGAAATTGTGCTCCTGCTGTAAAATAAGATTTTTTTTAATGTTTTTTTTTTTTTTTTTTTTTACCAAATCTGGAATAAAGATTGCCAGCGCTGTAGCCAGCAGTCAGTCCTTTCACAAGTAACTTGCTGGTGGTATCGATGGCTTAGAAGACGCTGTATCTCAGTTACAGTTTCAGTTATTTCTAATCACAACTGGGAACCAATAGTGACCACTCAGAGCTGCAAAGTAATTCAAACCTCTTTGTGTGGTGTGAGATTGAGTCACAGTCACATTTCATTCTGCAGTGACACATAGTATCGATGTGATGCATGAAGTGTGAACGCTGCTGCACTCATTCAGTGACCTGGTAGACAAAATGTGCATGCTGCATCGTCAGGTGAACTAAGGGTTTCCCATGGAGTATCTCAAGCATGGGCGTAGGTTTGGGTAGGGACGGTAGGGACATGTCACGGGATATGAAAAAGTCCCGACCAATTTTTGCCATATTGGCTCAAAGAACGTGGATCTACGATCTTTGATTAGCAGCAACAGGCGGTGCGGAACGGAAGCTTCTTAGTTTGACATTTATTATGAGCCTCCGAGACCGTGTCGGGGGGGGGAGTCAGTTGAATCGTCGGACGTTCTTTGATTAGCTGCAAAAGGCGGCGGCTAGCTGGGAACACGCATCTCCTTCTGAGTCTCCGAGACCATGTCGCCACCAAAAAAGAAAAGGACAGACATTAGAAGTTATTTCGCTACGTCGGCTGTAAGTACAGTGAGTGGACCCATAAGTTAGATATCTATCACGCAACGCATTTGTTGTAAAGTCCGGTGTTTAGTAAGGTCAGCACCGAATGAGAGGTAGAATAGGTCTGTTAATTATGTAATATTTTTTCACATAGGAAAACGATGGAGAACGATGGAGAGGTGGCTGGAGCTTCAGGGCTCCAGGTGAGGTGTTAGTTCTCAGATATGAAATATACTGTGAAATTATCTCTGTATCTGGTTGTATACACAAGATGTATGATATGGTTATGGTTGGGGGGAGGGGTTATTAAACCAATATGGTTTCCCCCCCCCCCCTTCTCAAAAATGTTCGGTGCTCTTGGGCATTTCACTGTGCTGCCGGGGGTGAGGGGTGTGTCAAGGTTGTGGTTTATTGGTTCTTTGTTTATCTTTCTTTGATCTCTTTTTGCAGATGTAGAAGCCGATATGCGTCATTTCCTGGTTTTTTCTTTCTCTCTTCAGTTCTTAACACTGGAGAACCACAGAAGAAGCCCAGATAAGCATTTCTAAAGCAAACGATATTAGTTTACATAATTGTATGAATGTGTTTTTATGTACGCATTAAAGCCAATCATATCTAAATATGAGCTGGCTTCACCAGGCTCTAAACCGCAGACAGCCAGTCTCTGAACGTGAAGGTTTCCTTTTTCCAACTGTGTTCACCTACAGTGTCTGCAGTGTGCAAAAACACAAACAGTTCACACTTTGCTGGAACCTTTGCTGCTTACCTCTGTAGCCCTCTGGTATGCGGTTTAAAAAAAAAAAAAAAGTAGGTCTTCACAGCGTCATTTTTCCACCCAGGGGTTAGCTGGAAAAGAATTGACCTTTAGGCGTCTCTTTGCAGGTGATGAACATTGCATGCAGTTGGTGTATTTTTAGTCGACCACCAGAGTGTGTGATCTGTGGTGACCTCTCACACAGCTCGCAGCAGAAGCTGAGGCTGGTACCTCATGTTTATGAGACATGAACAGTCATGTCTCATAAACATGCTAACCTCCAGGCTCAGCTTCAGCTACGAGAGACACTGAGTCACCAAGTCCAGCTCGTCAGTTCAGAGTTCCTGCAAACTGGTTCTTACCCCAATTTAGTTTTTATTTCTTTTCCTCATAAATCCTTATCTTGAATCTAGGCTGAGGTTTCATTGCATGATTTACAATATTGATACATACAACACGGATCAAACTCTGTATTATGTGTTTTCCCGGGCACAGTGTCATTTTACAGCACAGTCAAATAACTATGTTACCCCCAGTTGTTAATTTTTTTTTACATATATGAGATATGACTTAAAAGAAATGTGACTTCATAAATTAACGCCTTGAAATTGAATCTCTGTGTCTTTAATAATCTCCTGCTCTTTCCGACACTTTGATGCGTGAATGACATTATAACTTGATGTAAAGCTAAAAAAAAAAGAGCAGATTTTACATAATACCCCCAGAAGAAGTTACAAGTATTTGCATTTGGAGCTACTGCTCTGTCTCCAGGTTTCAAATTAACCCTAGAAATGCGAAATGAAGAAACAGAAACAGGACAGCCACAACACAGCCCTCCATGCATGCTAAGCCTAGTTAGCATAGCCACCAATACTGGCGGTTAAACGGTTTTCCTGAGAAATAACTTTAAGTTATTTCTCTGTCATTAACACATTGAGCAGCATGTACACAAGGGTTAATGACAGCACTAAGACCCTCCTCCTGGCTCTGATTGGCTGTTTTTGACTGGGAGCGGTGCATATTCGCAGATCAAAACAGTGCAGGGAGAAGGTAGTGGATTCACAAATTGTGTCTCATACTATACTGTCATGACATGTTGACAGTACTAACAAATAGGTAAAAAACAAAACAAAAAAAAACAGATTTTTATATATATCTTGGGTTTTCCTTGGGAAGTCCTGGGCCAATCTGTGGAATGGGATGAGAAACGGTCTTTGAAGAGGTTTTTGGTTCTTAGGCATCAGTGACGGCCACAATCTGGGTCGTGTCTTTAAAGATGGCCTTTCAAATCCTCCAAATCAGTACAGGTGAAATTATTCTGGGAGCATCACTTGACTTCTGTCCCATGACTCCCAGGATAAGTGGTTTTAAATGACTGTTTTACCTCTTCAGTGATGAGAAGCCTTCTTGTCTTTGCTATCTGGAAGTCAGGACAGTGTGAAAGTCAAATTATTAGAAAGAAGAGATTTATTTCACATATCTTAATTAATCAGAGGATAAACAGCCTGTTTGGGTTTGAATAATTTTCCTCTCTGTTTTGTACCTTGCCATTTTTCCTTTTTCTGCAAATCTAATATCACATTTTATTTACAAACTTAATATTAGTGCCACCATCTCCAACAATTGTAGACACATTTGATGAGACGCAGTCAGGCTTTATGAGAAATAGATCTTTATCATCTTTATCTGACTAGTTTTAGATCTACTTGATTACTCAGGCTACTTGATTAGTTATATTTTCTTCCTGGAGTTTTATAAAATCTGGTTTTAGAAAAAGAAAGTGTTACACTGTTAGTTTGTAAATTAAGTATTTAGTTTGGAACTTTAGATTTCTAAATGTAGGAAAATCCTGTTGAAAATCTGGCTTTTTTTCTCTGTGACATGCTAAATAAACCAAATATTTTGCTGTTAATTATTCACTGTGTAACTTCACAAACAGCACCATGTATATATTGAACTGAAGGTGCAATCTGGAAAAGGCCTGTTGGATTCCATTAAAACTAAGCAGATGTTTTTGAGAAACTTTAATAGAGGAGGGTTCCACAGAGCAGAAGATTGTGTCATCGGCGTAAAGATGAATACATAAATCTACAACGGAACTTTCTGTACAAAAAGGGCTGGACCAACTGTTGAGCCCTGTGGGACACCGTTGGTTCTGACTGATCATTTGAGAACCAGCTC